TGCAGTTCATTGCTTTTCATCACTTTGAATATTTCATGCCAATCCCTTCTGGCCTGAAATGTTTCCGTTGAGAAATCAGCTGAAGGTATTGTGGGAGTTCCCTTTTAGGTAAGTGTCTTTCTATATCTGCTTTTAAGGTTTTTTTTTCTTTGTCTTTAACCTTTGCCATTTTAATTATGATGTGTCTTGGTATGGGCCACTTTGCATTCACCTTGTTTGGAACTCTCTGCATTTCTTGGACTTGTGTGCCTTTTTCCTTTACCAGTTTTGGGGAGTTTTCACTCATTATTTCTTCAAATAAATTCTCGATCCCTTGCTCTCTCTTTTCTTCTTCTGGTACCCCTATGATTCAGATATTGTTATGGTTCATGTTGTCCCAGAGGTCCTTTAGACTATCCTCATTTTTAAAAATTTTTTTCTTTTTGCTTCTCTGATTGGGTGTTTTTTTTTTTTACCTTGTCTTCCAAATCACTGATTTGATCCTCTGCTTCATCCAACCTACTTTTTTATTCCTTCCAGTGTATTCTTGATATCAGATATGGTATTCCTCATTTCTTACCTTTTTTTTTTTTTCACGGTTTCTATGTTGCTTTTCATGCTGTTGACATTCTCACTAAATTCCTTGAAGTTCTCACTATGCTCCTTATAAACAGTTTTTGAACTCTATACCTGGTAAATTGCTTTTTTCCATTTCATTTAGCACTTTTCCTTGAGATTTTACCTGTTCTTTCATTTGAGGTTTATTTCTTTGTTTCCCCATTTTGGCTGCCTCTTTGTGTTTGTTTCTATGTATTAGGTAGATCTGCTATGTCTCCTAGCCTTGATAGGGTAGCCTAATGTAGTAAGTGTCATGTAGGACCCAGTGGCACAGTCTCCTTTGTCACTTCAACCCGGTGCTTCAGGAATGTCTCTTGTGTTGGTTATGTGAGCCTTCTTGTCGTAATTGAGTCTTCATTGCTATTGGCCCATTCATGTGTGGGATCGACCCTCAGGCTGGCTGACTGTGAGGACTGACTCTAACCATGGTGTATGAGCTGTTATGCAGATACTAAGCATATGAAGCAGAAAAAGCCTCAGCAGGGTCTGGTGCTGTTCGAGATCTCCCTTTGGATATGCTGTTTGTGAAGCTTATTGGATCCTAATCTGATATTGTCTGAAGCTGGCTACTGGGTGTGTTTGTTCAGGGCCTCTTGGAGGGACTCTAGTACAGGTGAATGTCGGATGCTGCCTGTGACTGGCCCTGGGCTACCTGTTTGGAGCTACAAAGCTACCCAGAGTTTGTGGCTGCCTGTGCTGGGCCTTAGTGTGCATAGGAAGGACAAATCTTTGCACCAAGGTCAGCTTCCACCAGCACTGAGCCCAGGGGCAGTTCAGCAAAAGGCCCATGGCACCCCAAGATCTGCTGTCACCTGCCCTGGGCTGCTGGCTGCCTGTTAGGCTCAGTCACTGAACGAACCTCTGGCAGTACTCAAGTTGCAAGAGGTAGGTGCTCAGTGAGTCACTAGGTAGGAGCAAGTGGTTGTCACCAGATTGACAGATTCAAACTCAGTGCCAGTGTTGTGTCTGAGGCCACTCTGCAGAAGTCCCAAAATATGCCAAGTCTAGCTGCCACCCACCAGGTGCCTGCAGACCTTTTTGGTGTGGTAGGGTTTCAGGGAGTAATCAGGGTGAGGACAGCAGAGTTTATCAGGCCAAAATAGACTGAGATTTGGTTGAGTGAAGAGAAGGCCCTGCACTGGTCAGGTTGCAAAGAAAAAATGTCCCCAGTCCTAGAGTCATACAACTCAGTCTGTCCCAGATTCTGCCAGTAGCTGGATTTCAACAGGGATGGGCTGCTGGGAGTAGGGAGGGTGAGGCTAGTGAATCTCCTGTGAGGGGGAGATGCAGGTAAGGCTTGGGGGAAGGTGGGGGGAGTGGCTCATGCCTCAGAGCCACAAAACTTGGTCACTGATACCCTCTAAGTCTGCCTGGATCTCTACACCCAGCCCAGGCAGCTAACTCTTTAGCAGGGTATGAGCTCTACAGGGTGGCACAACTGGGAGTCCTTAGGATGGTGTTATCACATTCCCCAGACTGATGTCTTTTGGAGGTGAGTGCTCACCTAAGAAAAATGGTGTCTCTGGTATAGGACAGGGACTCAGGACAGGGATCATGGCTGCTGTCCCTACAGCTCTCTCCCCAGAGCCACAGTCCCCAGTCTTTCCTCACATGACTCTAGTCTGTTTTGCCCTCCCTCTGCTGGAGCTCAGGGTGAATGGCTACAAAGGAGATTTTGTGTGCTGGCCCTTCAAGAGCATGCCTGGGTCTCTACCAGATTCCTTCATCTCCCTGGTGGACAGAATCCTTGGTGATTTTATCATCCAGATGTTATGTGGGCACCTCATCTCAGCTCTGTGCTCTGGGCTGGGGGCCTGGCATGGGGTTGAGACCACATGCTCTTCAGGGGAACCTTTGCAGCTGAGATTACCCTTCGCAGTCTCAGCTGCCACCTATGGGAGCAGGGCCAGCCCTTTTCGTGTCTCTACCCTTCATACCAGTCTTGATGTGGCTTCTTCTGTAAATCTTTGGTTATAGACTTCTGTCCAGCTAGTCTTCAGTTGTTTATTCAGGTTGATTGTTCTATATTTTAGTTTTAACTCCAGTTTGGTGCTGGGAGAAGGTGAGTGTAGCCTCCACCTACTCTGCCACCATCTTGGATCCCCTAATATTTTTCATCGATATTCCTCTTCTGGGCTATGCACCTGTGTCTACAACTGCCTGATGTGCTGGTTTGTTTTACTTTCATAATGTTACCTTAAACTAACATGATTAAGAAAGAATTCAGCATTTCACTCTTCACAGTGACTCTTTTCCAGTGGTCTGATTTGCTGAGCACATCATGTCCTACTCATTTAGGCTTAAACCTTGGACAGCTCTTTGACTAATTCCCCTCATCTTCCACTTACTCTGCCACCATCCTGGGTCTCCCCCAAATACTTTGTTTCAGTCTCTCCTGCTAGTTCCTCCTTCTCTATTTGGATTTTGATCTTGGCTCCCCTCTCTTTTCACTCCATACTCTCACTTTTGGTGGCCTTGTTCTATTGCCATGTTTTAAGTGCTACCTATATGTCAAAGATTCCCAGATTGAGTTCTCTATCCCACACATCTCTTTTGAGCCCATCATATATTAAATATAAACATGAAATGTCTATTTGCCTATCTCACAAGCATCTCAAATTTAACATGTTCACACTTACCCTTTAATTCTGTTCCATTATTATGTCTGAGATTGGCACTTGAACCTCTGGTATTTGAACCAGAAATCTGAGAGTCATTCTTGACCATCCCTCTTTCTCATTGTGCCCACATCCAACTCACTGGACCAGAAACCTACAGTAATTCTTGACACATCCTGCTTCCTTATTCTCTTCCAGATCAATGCAACAGCCAGTATTGCTAATTTTAGCATAAAATAGAGCATGTATCTTTCCATTTTTATAACTATCACCCCAGTTTATGATAGAAGAAGGCTAACAGGTCAAAAATAAATTTGTGACATGGCATTTTAGTGAAAACCCAACTAGGCAAAATCCTGAGGATTTCTTTGTGGTATTAGTTTGCACGGATTCACTGCAGTCATTTCCTGTAGCTTTGTCAGTCCAACTTGACTGAATGTGAGTTAACTTCTGTTTTCCATGTCAGATGCTGGGCTTCTGTCAGCTCCTCTCCCTTCCCTCACCTCTGCCTTTTCTACCCTTGGGATGTTGGTTCCAAAATGCCTATGGAAAACTGTCTTACACTAGGTTTAAGGCTTTTGTTTAATAGATTCAGTATATTTGGTAAATTAGCCAATTGTAGAATTGACAACTCAGCTAAATAATCATTAGGGGAAATGATTTTTTTTTGACAAATTGATCATTTGGTAATTAATTTTTGCGAAATTAGATCAGGGAATAAATCTTTGAACAGATGACCTAGAGGCTGTTGGAACCATTATCACCTTTGCCTATACTGAGTCATTGCCACCTCTAATTGATCTCCCCACATTCCTTCTGGTGCCCCTCCCACCAACCAAATCCATTCCCCAAACAGCAGTGTCAATGACCTCTTACAAAGGAAACCCAAGTGAAAAGCATGCTGATGGCTTTCACTGCACTCAGAATGAATCCAAAAGTGGTTAACAAGGCTAGGCTGACCTGCCCCTGCCCGCCTCACTCCAAGAATACTTGCCTTTCTGTTAAATCTTCAAACCAAGTTTTCAAACACCAGATTCTTTTCCTGCCAAGTGCCTTCACACATGCTATTTCTTCTGCCTGAAATGCATTTCCTCCCATTCTTTACATGCCTCCTTCTCATCCTTCAGGTCTCAGCTCAAATCTCATTTCCTTAAAGAGGTTTTTGTGATTTACCTACTTAAATTAGGTCTCCCTGTGATTATTTCATAGTACTCTGTATTTCCCTTCATAGTATTTAACATCACTTGTAATTAAAAATATATATGTGCTTTTATTTGATTCAGGTCTCTCTCCCTGATTGGGGAGTTAGTTCCATGAGGACGGGGAAGGAGGGACAAGCAGATGCTTGATAAACAAGTATGAATAGATGAATAAATTAATGAGATGTTCTTAAATTCTTATATCACATATAAAAATCACACAAATGCAGAGGAATTCAGTATTTCATGGTCTCTTATAATTAGAATATAAACGTATAGTCAAGAACTTTAATGACAACAACAACCCCAACAGCATTTCACAGTGTCTGATTAACCCAGCCAGTTCTTAACTGTACTGATCTGCAAAACAGTATCACCAGATTCTCTTACTACTAGCTCTGGGGCTTTTTAAGGGTTATGTTTTTCTGAAGAATTCTTTTAGACAGGTAAATGTTATTAGAATGATATAATAAAAGCTATGAATTTGCAATTATGATGACATTAAACAGAAAAAAAGGTCAAGCAATTGTTTGAGGAGGTGGTAGTAAGAGAAACAAACAAAAATAAATAAATATATTCTACTGACCTTGAGGAAGCTGAAGTACCCCTGTGCTTATGCCTGAGACCAAGTCACCCAACACATACTCCTTGAATTTGTATGCTGGCAGCCACTTAGTTATGGGTAAGAACATATAAATGATATTTCTTATTTTCTTAGGAGTACATCTGGGAGGACAAAGAAAGACAGAGAAAAAAAATGAGGAACATTTCTGTAGAATTCAAACCAAGGCACTTTTCCTTCCTAATATCCTGGAATAATAAGGAAAACATTCACCAGTGGCACTGAGGATAATCTTTTCACTCTGCAGGGATCAGAGATAGGAAGAACTGCTTCTTGTAGGTTTTTTTTGTTGTTGGGAGCATCTAAATTGGCTCCATTATAATGCTCTACAACTGACCATGAAAAATAAGAAAAATTTAGCTTCTGAATAATTGAGATAATCCAAAAACTATTATTTTAATAGATAAAATTTTTACTGTACTTTCTGCTTTGGTATAAAGCAGAGTAGGGGAATTATTTACTGATTGAGTTAATTTTCGAATGTGGAACCATTGACCAGCACCTTCCCATTTGTTTTCCCCTTCCTTATAAAATGAAGGAGATTTATACAGGTATTTTGAGCATTATTAACATGTGCCCATTGCTTTAGGGTCTTTGACTAGGTAAACTCAAAACACCATTTGCCACTGGAGTGTAATAGCTGAATCGATTATGCCTGGGTGTCTTGGTTAAGTAGAACACCAAGCTGATAAAACCAAGGCCTTGCATTTAAACCCTATATGATTCAATTAACTTTGATACATAGACCATGTTCTAGGTGTTGGCCAGTCCTTTTGCCAGACTATGCCAATAATCAAAGACATCACTGAGTAAGAGTATGGACAGATGAGTTCCATTGCCACTATGAAAGCCTTAAGTCGTTCTGGTGACAAGGAAGCAATTTATTCCATTAAAAATATAGCACATTATTGCAGCATGCATGGTATTTTATATAGTGTCTTTAATGGTTAAGAGTATTTGGTAATTAGATGAAGAAAAATATTAGAAGCAAATGTGAGACAATTGTGGCAAGAGCAACAAATTTGAGTAAAACAAACTACATTTGATATCTTGTTTAGAAAATTGAGGTATTAATAATAGCTACATATATATGTATATATATGTGTGTGTATANNACATATACATATACATATACATATACATATACATATACATATACATATACATATACATATACATATACATATACATATACATATACATATACATATACATATACATATACATATACATATACATATACATATACATATACATATACATATACATATACATATACATATACATATACATATACATATACATATACATATACATATACATATACATATACATATACATATACATATACATATACTGCTTGCCATATGCCTAATTCCCAGTGATGTAAGTGCTATTATTATACTCATTTTACAGAGCAGGAAACTCAAGCACACAGCTGGTAGGTGGTTGGGACTAGGATTAAATCTCAGACCGTCTGAATCCAGTGTATACATTTTTCACCTCTACTGATGATTATACTTTGAGCACAGGGCCACTGTGAAGCTTAAATGAACACAGAACACAGGAGGTGTGGTCTCAAGGGTTCAGGAGGCAGTAATCAAATGATTTGGTTTTAAAGTTTGGCAGCTATCAATAGGCACACATGTATTAACTTACCCAGGCATGCAACATGCCTGTGTATGTGTCTCCAACATTAAGGGTCATAGGACATTGAGTGTCCTTGACAGCTTAGGAGGGGACTTAGGTTCTAGGTTGCCAAATGGAGTATAAGTCAAGGATAGAAAAAAAGAGAATGGTTGGAGCATTCTGAGAGATAAAGGGAAGAGGTGGATATTTTGAATGTGGTGGAGAATTAGAAAGTGGGTTACTTATATAAACCTTTACACATACATCCCCAAGGCACGGTAGGATTTTAATAATGGTGAAATACATTATGAAGCCCATGTTCAATCAAAGATCTATCACTGACAACCCTGTGGACAGTTCTGCAAATGAAGAGCGCTCACCATTTGTTTTTTTTGTCCATTTCATCAGATTTTCCTTATACACTTGACCTTGCTTCTTTCTTATGAATGCCAGAATAAAAGAGACAGGTTAAAACACAACATACGTGAATGCCTGTTTCAGCTTATCCCCAATGGAATCCGGAATTTTGTCCTTCTTGTGCAGTCTTTCCTGGAGGGCCAGATGGCTAAAGAGAGGCCTATCCACACAGTACCTCTGGGTTGCCGCAAGGATTTCAGTTTCTTCAGCATGATCCATAGTACTCTGAAATTATTCATCAACAGCAGGAGACAAGCATTTCCTGTGTCACTAGGGAGAAAAACTCTATTTCAGATGCTAAAATTCAGTGTCACTAGGGAGAAAATAAACACTCTAATTCAGATGACTGTTCTTAAGCATCACTTCCTTGTGGTATTCTAAGCTCTTCTGAAGATTTCTTCATACTTGGCTCACACAGTGAGTGGGTGGGCAGTGATAAACAGGTCCTCAGATGAGCAGGCTGGGGTCCAGAGCTGCCAGGATCACCTAACACAGTGATCTATCTGTACATAGTAGGCACTAATAAATGAAATCAAATCAATAAAAGTCAAATCCCCCTCCCAAGGCAATAAGTGGATAATGTGTGTACTTTCAATAAAGCTCATATTAAATTCAATAGCTAACTATTGCAGTCATTTGGCTCTAGCTCCGTATTAGGGGAATTGTGAATCAAGCCAACTCTGACCATTAATATGCCAAGGAAAAAAGGGCAAGATCAGTTTTTAAATTGAATCCAAGATTTAAAAGTATATTAGCCTCCTTAACAATTCTGTATTCACATTTGATTACACCTTAAATTAACTTATGGTTCTGAGCTGAGGCTTCTATGACTCTATGAGGAAAGTCCCTGGTGACTTCTGTGAAAAGCTGTAAGTTAAAAACATCAATGCAATATTATAATATTATTTTAAAGTAGATTATGTTGACATGTGTGAGACTATAAGGATGGTCGATAATTTTTTTTTTTTGTTAAATGGTGAATACTACTTATAAGGGTAAAATAAATGACTAAGGAATAAAAACCCAATATGTTTGTACATACAGAAATGTGTATAAAAGTGTTCATTATAGCTTTATGATAATAAAAATTGGAATAAACCCAAATGCCTATCTGTATGCAATAAAAATATATTTGTTATGGCTGTAAATTGAATGCTATGTAGTAGTTAAAACAAATGAACTAAATCTATGTGTCATCATCAATAAATCTCAAAAACTTAATTTTCAATAAAAATGCAAGGCACAGATGAATACTTTGAGGATGCAATATTCAAAGTTTTAAAACTTATAAAGCAATAATATCTGTTGTTTATAGACACACATGTAAGTAGTAAATGTACAAGAGCATGTATGACAATGATAAACACTAAGACCATGATAGTGTTACCCTTGAAGGGAAGGGGAATGAGGCTCGGAAGAGATAGAAAGCTTTCAGTAAGTGGATCTGCAACGTTTCAGTCTGTAAAAAATGAGTTGCCACAAATAGAGCTGTGTGGTAAGTAAATTGGTGTTTGTTACATGATTCTTTGTATTTGTCTGTATATTTGAACTACATACCTTATCATAAAAAATTAAGTGCACAACAATAACAACTAAACCAACTGAAGCACATGAACAGCAGAGGAGTTGGGGGTTATGATGAGTTAACAGTTGGGTGCTTGTGTGGTGACCACAGGAGTGTGGGGGTTTCCAATATTGGTTAATACAACTCCCTCATGGTGAAAAGTTAGGTTTTCACCAAACTGAAATTACATTTGCAATGAAATCAGGCTCATGTGACCAACCCCAGAATATCATGCAAAGTAAATGATTAGGTCCAAGGAGGCTGAAAATTCAAGTCTAAAATAAAAAACAATTCTAGCAGCAAATGCAACCAAGTACAGTAAAACCTTGATGTAACTAAGTCGGAATTTTTGCAGCCGAATCTGAAAAATAAAGGTTGTATGGTTTTTGTTTTACGCTAGCAAAGCTGATTGGCTCTCTCTCATCTAACTTTTTATGGATACTCTAGGAACATCACAATATCCAAGAATAACTGGGCTGGGTGGCTATATGACATATATAAAAATACTGGCTTTTAACTCTGCCTGAACCCAGAATCTTTTAGAAAACAGCAATGCCCGGGCTCTACACCAAGGTTTAATAGACTACGCTTACTGAAAAGTACATGAAATAAAGTTTTGAAGAGGAATTTGAAATATAAGGGCGTGATTTAGCAGTAAAAATGGTTCCTTGAATTTGATATTTTCATTTAGGGAACTGGTTCTCTACCCTGGCCACACATTGAAATCACCTGGGCAGCTTTAACTGCTACTGATGCCTGGCTGTAGCCAGGGATTCTGATTTAATTGGTCTGGGAGGCAGGCAGGGATTGAGAGTGCACAAGCTCTCCAGGTGATTCAAAACCACTGACTTAGCAGATGGGAGTGTAAAAACCCACACCCACCCACCTATTTACTCAACCAAACAAAAAGAACTGACTAGGGTGTAAATAAATTGTGTGCAATGCATTATATCACTGTCTTTGCTTATATGTGTCTTTGAAATATATAATAAAAAATTGCAAAGAGAAAAATACCTAGCTTAGGTTTCTCAAGCAAAGCCTTGTTTTGATTCTTATATTCTCATGACAAAAGGGAGTTGAGTGTAGGTGGGCCATGCAACATCCACTACACTTCATGCAAATGTAGTCTTAATTGTTACAAACACATCATTCAGGGTTTAAATTAGGAGCAAATCTCAAAGAAATTTAGATCTCAAAACATTAGATGGATTTAGGAAAGCATTAGGGTATGTACTCTCTGTAGTTTGTCAATTAAAATATTGACTGTCCAGTTAAATTTGAATGTCAGTACCCAACAAATAATTTTTTTTAGTATAAGTATATTCCAAATATCACATGAGGCATGCTTATATTAAAATTTTATTCTTTATCTTAACTTTAACTGGGTATCTTATACACATATTTTTTTTGCTATATCAGGCAACCATAACTCTCTGTAGGTTAGGAAGAGACAGAGTAAAGAGGGGATTCTCAAATATTTTTGAAGTGTTGGGATCCTGGCTATAGTCTGTGACCTCCTTGAGATAACTGCTTGGCAGTTTAGAGATGTCTTAAGTGGGAAAGGAAAGGACTGCTGGGAGGGATAAGGACTGGAAAGACGAAGAGCATATTATAATGAAAGGTGTCCTTTTGGGGAACTTTTAATGCTCATCAGCAATGATTAAATAATTAAAGCCATGAAGGCTATCAATAACCACCTTATCAGAATAAGAGAGGCAAAGTAACCAAGGGACCAATACAAGGAGATCAAATGACCAGCCTCTTATCTGACAGATAATGAGCTTCCAGAGTGCTGATAGAAATTATAAATCACCAAGTTGTAAAACAAACCCCCACATGAGAAAAGTCACTTCTGAGATGGCTTAAAGGGACGAAAATTCTGGTAGGTCATCCAACAAAAATACTAATGACAGAAAAGTAAATTGACCTAGAGGTTCAAGCCCCATTTTCCACAGCTATAAAATAAAAGATTTAAAAATAATTTAGAACATCTTTTATCATAGATTTCTAGATCTGAAAGTAATCTTGGAGATCATCCAATTTAACTCCCTCACTTTGTAGGTGAGAAAATGAATTCAACTACACTCACTTGGGCATAGTGATTTATACAAAAATATTCTCAAAATGCAAAACTCATTTCCTATTTAAAACAGTCATCAAATTTAAAAGGCACAAATATTTATAAGTAAAAATTATAACAATATAAAAATAGTCATGGGGATGTAGAGTACAGTACAGGGAATATAGTCAATAACATTGTAATAACTATGTATGGTGCCAGGTGGGTACTAGGCTTATCGTGGTGACCACTTCACATGGTATATAAATGTCTAATCACTTGTTGGACACCTGAAATTAATATAATATTGTATGTCAACTGTAATTGAAAGATTAAAACTATTACAACAGAGCAATAACATTTTAAATTTCAAACTTAAAGCAAGAATTAGTTGCTTGGGAATAATGATGATTCACTATGATTTTATGGAAGATGCTCCAAATTGGAGGTCAGGGTCAGGGTCAGGGTCTAACACTACTTCTGCATCTCAAGCAGCTGAGCCATTCTATGTTGTGATGACAGGGTTACGTAGATCAGGAGCATGTCAGAATCACCCGGGGAGCTTGAAACCACAGATTTCCAGGTCCTCACAAGATTCTGATTTAGTAATTCTGGAATCTGTATTTTTTAAAGCCCATGGGGTGAGACTGATGAACAACCTGTTGGGAAACGAGACTATGAGCTCCATGAGAACAGAAACCCAATACTATTGATTTCTGTACAGTGACTGCTCATAGGGCTCAAAAATGCTTGTTGAATGAATATGGAAAAATAACCTATCTCTCTGGGTCTTAGTTTCCTCATCATTTTTTGGTTGTTAATCCTTACCCGAGGATATTTTTTCCATTGAATTTTAGAGAATGGAAGGAAGAGGGGGAGACAGAGAGAGAGGGGGAGGGAGAGGGAGGGAGAGAGAGAAACATCGATTGCTTGCCTTCCACACGTGCCCTGACCACTGGGGCTGAGGATTGAGCCTGCAACCAAGGTACATGCCCTTGGCCAAAATGGAACCCAGGACCCTTCAGTCCCCAGGCAGATGATCTAACCATTGAGCCAAACTGGCTAGGGCAGGGATTTTGCTTTTTGATCTTTGCGAGTTTATATGCATGGTAGTAATAAAAACTAGTTCATATTTAAACAATGTTAATGCTCACTTTACTGGGTAACTTACAAAGTGAGTACATAAAACTACGAATTGGCTTAAAATAATATGAAAATCACAGTTATGTGAATTTCTTATTTATACACAACAATATTTAAACATATAGTAGTTAATATTTATTGAGATTGAGCAATTAAAAAATCAAGGCATCTATGTAAGGTAAAAATTATGCACATTTTTCAGATGAAGAATCTGTGGCTCCCATGGAGTAATAACAGCTGGGATTGGAATTTAGGTCGCTCGTTTCAGAAACCATGCTCTTATGCTATGCTGCCTCATTAACGGTGTGTGAGATTAATTATGTCAAAATGTTTATCTAATTTATCTAAATTATGTTATTATAGGCATGCATCCCCCCTTGTCATGACTTGTTTTTGAAGCTTGGTGATCTTAACAAAATTAGAATCGAGGTTAGAGGCCAAGGAAGACTTCAGAGAGGACACTGGATTTGAAGTAGCTCTTGAATAATGGGTAGAAGGCAAAAG